ATTTCTTCAGAAGCTCTACGTGTGGAGAACTGAAGTAACTACCTACTAGCACTTCTTAAAGTAATTTTATTTTTAAGAAAGTAATATGTGCCTTGTATGTTTCATTTAATATTGCAGCACAGAGACTAATTTTTTTCTATCAATTAAAATAGAAAGACTTTGTTCTTTATGAGTTGGGATAAAGAAAATGCAGAAACAGAACAGGTTATAAAACGAGGAAGTGAGACCTCTTTAGCTAGTTCTTGAAATAGCTAAAAGTGGTTTTATGACAGGTTAAATGTAGTAGTATTCAATCCAAATTCCACATTTACACTTGAGGTTTGACAGTTTGTGGTAATTCACTTCTGGTGAGTTGATTACTGTGCTCAGACTTTTTATTTCAGTTGAAAGGAGGGGAAATGGTGCTATTTTCCTGTTTTGCACCTTCATGTGAAATTTCCGTATACTTTTGGGAATGCATCCCAAGAAACTTGTTCAAGGATATACATAATCATTTTTAGGTTGTCAGATACTTAAAGCAAGCTGTGAGGGCTGAAGATGAGGACTCTCTGGCGAGTAATGCTTTGTGATGTAAAGGGCTTTCCCCTTGCATAACACTGTTAGTGAAAGCACTTGAAAGTAGTGGTGTGCTGGATTTGCAAGTTTTAGGCTCTTTCCTCTGTTGATGCATCTTGGTTACTGTCTCAGCAGAATGTAACTGCTCACCCATGATTTATGTAAGGCATTATTTGTAGGAAAACTGCCTTGTGCCACCAGGTATTAAAAAAAAAATTAAAATGATGACTGATTCTCATCTTAAATCTGAGGATCCCAAGGTAGTTAGTAAACACCTCTTAAGTTAAACAATTGTTTCAACCAGTTAAACAGTAACGATTTATGAAAATGTAAAAGTGAATGTGACTGTGTACAGTAAGTTATGGTGCTCAACTACAAAATTTTTAGTCATTTGACAGTCCTCCAATGAGAGCTTTATTCAGTCCTTTCAGTTCCTCCTGCTACCCAGCACTGGAAATTAGTGTAAGATTTGAAGAAAGAAGGAAACTGTGGTCAAAGAAGGTACCTTTTTTCCTTTTGACTATGTTGCTGTGATTATTTATTGTTACAAATGGGTTTCATAAATAACAGTTTATTCTTCCCAGCCTGTTTTATTCAGAGACCTTAATAAGAGAGTCAGATTGATACCAGGCTTGTAGTGAAAAATTAAAAGGAAATTTAAAAGCATAATCCTCACAGTTCTGCGGAAGATGCCAGTGTCAACGTTTACAAGGAGTTTGGGCCTGAATTACTGAAAAGTCTTGATGGCTTTCTGACTCCCATGCTTTCTTTTCTATGGAAGACCTATTCACCTTTATATAAGATAACAGTGAATAGTCTGTGTTCACCTGTGCTCCATATGCTTGTCATCCTTTTCTAGCTCTGAAACTCTGGAGATGGAACACAGATTTTTGGGGAGTGGGGGAGAGTTGTCAAGAATATGAGTTGGAAAATGGATCAGAATGGTAGGGAAGGGATTATGTAACTGTGAGCTGTTGATTAAACATTGAGTGGTTTACATAATCGCTCCTGTGTAGCCTGCATTTTGTAAGCAAACACTGCTGCTTTTTCTGCACTTAGGAGGCATACCTTTGTGCCGATGTGACAGCATTTTAACATAGCGCACCAAATGAACAGTTTTATGTTGATGGTTACATAACATGGTTACATACAAAGTACTATGGTTATTGTACAGGCTCTCTGTAGCAGAGATTCGTAATCATACTTTCTCAGTTCTGTATTTCCATAGAATTACTTTCATTTCAGAGTCCTCCAACTGTTTGTAATGCAAATTCTATTTTTGCACCTTATTAACAAAGTGCTTTAAATTCTGTATGTATATACTATCTGCTAATTTACTAAGTGTTCTCTCTCTGGTGTGCAGCCCCACCTGTTAAAACCGACATTTTCCCACTTGTGAGAAACAGAACTTGACAGAGGAAAACTGCCTGCTACTCCATGGCTCTTCTGGAATTTCATCGTATTCAATTTATGCATTATCAAATTGAAAAACTGCACAAGCGTAACTTATTCAGGCAAATAATGTTGGTCTTTTGTAGTTGCATTTAAATTTTTGTCACTATTTCTAATGATAATAACATGCAAATTTATCTCAAATTCAATTTAAAATTTAAAGCAGACACTTTAAAGAATTATATTACAGCTTAAAAGACTTAACTTTGTAATAAGACATCTGGATCATGTCGGAATACCAACATTAAAATCTGTGAGCTCTTAGCTTCTAGCACATAATTGTTGCAGTGTTACAAATATATGAGGTACATGCAGAAAAAAAATCTGTACAGCAGAGATATCACTGTCCTGATTAACATTTTAAATTTTGTAAGGTTTTTCTTGAAGTAAGGAATGTTGTAATAATATCTGAAAAAGCTCAGAATTAAAAGATTGGATTATAGTTCTGCAACTGTACAAGATGTTGCTCTTCCACCTTTCAGTTAATAAAATGACGGAGAACTATCAGTAGAAGAGTCATAAGCCTCATTCTCACAGGGTTCTATCTGTGCAGCCTTTGTCATTGTATGAATCAGTATGTCGGCTTTTGAAAACTTCATTTAAAGTGGAATATTTTGTAAGAGTACAATCAGTCTTTATTGGGCGATCAATGAGATGATTTTGTTGGCAGTTCAAATGCAGAATCTTTCATATGCTGTTATAAACTCTGTGACATCCTGGAGTTAGGAACTCTACTGCTATGATGTCATCAAATAACTGTTTTTGTTATCCTAAACTCATGCTTGAAAGCTTAATCTATCTCAAGTGGGTAACATGCTGTTTGTAGGTCCTGCTATAGTTGATGAGTCCTCTTGGATAGAAGGAAGAAACACAACAAAATGTGCTGGCATAGCAATTTGTGGCCTTTCAGAAAAGAGAGAAATGAGGTGGAGTGGGAGAAATAGTACCACTGCAGTGACATAGGTTCCATAAAATGTTGGATTGAGTTCCATGTGAGTCTGCTTAAGTGTTATTTGTTAAAGAAAAAGTATAGATGGAAATGGAAAGATCAATACTTTACTAAGCAGAATTTCTGATTTTTTTTTTTTTTTCTTGCAGCACAACACTAAATTTGTAATGAAATGGAGTCTGGGTCAAGCTCTTTTCGAGTGGAATTTCCGGATTTTTCTAGTACCATTTTGCAGAAGTTAAACCAGCAGCGCCAGCAAGGACAATTATGTGATGTATCCATTGTAGTTCAGGGCCATCTCTTCAGAGCCCATAAAGCTGTTCTTGCAGCTAGCTCACCTTACTTCTGTGATCAGGTTCTCCTAAAAAACAGCAGGCGAATAGTCCTGCCTGATGTGATGAATCCCAGAGTATTTGAAAACATTCTTCTGTCTACCTATACAGGTAGGCTGGTAATGCCTGCTCCTGAAATTGTTAGTTATTTGACAGCAGCAAGTTTCCTCCAGATGTGGCATGTAGTGGATAAATGCACTGAAGTGCTAGAGGGGAATCCAACAGTTCTGTGTCAGAAGATGAATCATGGCAGTGATCATCAGTCCCCAAGCAGTAGTAGTTACAATGGCCTTGTTGAAACCTTTGAACTTGGCTCTGGAGGACAGACGGAATTCCATAAAGCGCAGGAACTAAGGGATGGCGAAAATGAAGAAGAGAGCTCTAAAGATGAACTGTCATGTCAGCTGACTGAACATGAGTACCTTCCCAGTAATTCTTCAACAGAACATGATAGACTTAGCACTGGAATGACAAGTCAGGATGGTGAAGAAGGAACTAGTGATAGTGCAGAGTATCAGTATACCAGACCTATGTATAGCAAACCCAGCATCATGTCTCACAAGCGGTGGATCCATGTGAAACCAGAAAGATTTGAACAAGACTGTGAAGGTGTTGATAATCCTTATGATGAGCACCAAGTTTCTGAATCCATGAATGCCATTCAGACAGATCATGCAATCCAGTCTTCAGGTGTTGAAGACTTTCATATAGGTGACAAAAAGATGGAAGCAGAATTTGATGAACAGGCAGATGAAAGTAATTATGATGAACAAGTTGACTTCTATGGCTCTTCTATGGAAGAATTTTCTGGTGAAAGGGCAGATGGAAATTTAAGTGCTCACAGACAAGATCTTATGGTAGCAGCAGGCTATGGTGAAGGCGTTGAAATGGCTACGGGAATTAAAGAAGAAACGTCACTCACTGGATTCTCACATGCTGATAAGCTGTATCCTTGTCAGTGTGGAAAAAGCTTTACACACAAGAGTCAGAGAGATCGGCATATGAGTATGCACCTTGGTCTTCGACCTTACGGCTGTGGTGTCTGTGGTAAGAAATTCAAAATGAAACACCATCTTGTAGGCCACATGAAAATTCATACAGGCATAAAACCATATGAGTGTAACATCTGTGGGAAAAGATTTATGTGGCGGGACAGTTTTCATCGGCATGTGACCTCTTGTACCAAGTCATACCAAGCTTCTAAAGCTGAGCAGAGTACTACTGATATGAACTGAGACGTTAGTGCTTATGTTTGTTTAGTAGAGTAAGCAAAATAAACTAATTATGCAAATAATGTCTGGTACTTGCTATTGTAAATTCTCAAAAACCCAAGTTTTAATGATTATGCTGATATAAACAGACCAAACTTTTGTTTTCCACAGTATTACTCCAGGTGTTCGATGTGTGAAGTGCAAATGGTTAATCTGAAAGGTGCTTGCAAAATGAGGTCTGTAAGGTCTTTGTGACATTGGTTGTAATCACAGCAGTATTTAGAAGCCCTATTGTTTTTCCAGGTCTTCTAAATTCACAATAAAGGCTAGCTCTAAAGTGACCCAAATCCTGCAGTTACTTAGCTGAAGCAGGAATTCAAGTAGCCCTACTTAATGAAAAAGAGAACTAGGATGACCAAACCAGGTTATGAGATTCACATTTTAATGAAAAAAAAAGTAGAGTTCCACCTCAAACTGGAGACTGCCAACATACTTAACGTGTATTGTTAGATAGTCTACATCATTAAATAGCCTTTGCTGTATTGCTTAATGAAAGGCTGTGGTAAAGATGGCTTGGCTTTCCTTTATCTGCCTTCCATTTTTTAATCCGTCTTCAGAAAACAACTGTTCTCCAATTTTGTGCAGATTTCTATTTCGAGTCTGTAAAGCACTTAAATATAGTTGAGCACTATATAAACTTCAATCTGTGTTAAATATAATTTGTCGTTGCTTCTCTAGGGTCTAATGCTGTCTGACTCTTGGCTTGACTTGATTTTGATTGCTACGTTGCGAGAGCTTCTAGAAGTGTGTGTAATAAGTATATCTTGTGAAAAAAAAAAAAAGGTAATACTTGGAACTTATCCAAAATAATCAAACATTTAAACCGTAGTTTTCTGTTCAGATTTTTGTGGCTTACTACAGTAGCAAGTACCAAACTCTGTGGATTCACGAATTGACTTTTTATTGGTACAAAAACTTATTTGAGAACTTCTATCTAGTTTTAGAAACCTGATTTACGAAAATTATTTAGTCATTGATAGGTATTTATACTTTAACTTCTTTACTCTTTGGGTAGTAAGAACTATAATACAGATTCTTGGTACTGAACTACTGTGACTGGTTACATGTGATCAGAAGCAGCCAAAGTTGTTTACCTCTTCATTTGAAGTTGCTTATGGAAAAAAGTAGAAAGTATGGTATTTGGATCTGTTAATGGTACTGCAGAACATGGTACCGTGCTCATGTCTGAAGTCTGGATTTTTGCTGGGAAAGTGGCACTTCTGCTTCATTAGGATGAGGATCTATATGCTGGGCTCTCATTCTTGGAGATAGATGGAGGAGTGTTTGTAGTTCTGAGAGATGCTGCCAGCTCTGCAGGTAGAGTGAGTGCATCAGTTGTAAAGGTGGCAACAGGATTTTGGGGTTGAAAGCTTAACGCAGTCCTGTGCAAAAGCAATTAACCCTTCTTTGTAGTTTACTGAAACATATTATAAAAAGGAAAGCCTTTAGAGCATACATAGAGACTGTAATAGAAACAGGAGATGTCCAAGTACAGTGCTGGTAACATGGGGAAAAAAGTTAACTAGCATCAAAGGCCTAAGCCTGTCTGGCCCCAGTTTATGTATTAGATACTGCGATGTGCAGGATAACATGCTTAAACAGATGATCCTCTATGGTGAAGCAAAACCTCACAAAGATAATTACTGTTTAGATGCTTTTTTGAACTCCCAGTTACAAATTGTCTTAAGATATAACCAAACTGTATCCTGAACATGAATGTCTGGTACCAGCTGGGGGTTCACTACTCAGTGGGCTGTAATTACTGTAACTTCTTTTCTGGCATTCTACTTACAAACTTTAATTTTTTTAGGAGGCTCTTAATTTTTAATCTTCTAATGCTTCAGATATTTTTCATATGGAATTTTGTTAAAACAGATATTCCCAAATATGATGAACCCATTGCGGGCAATGGGTATGAATGGTCAGCACCACAGAGTTCCTATTCTTAGCACTTAATTGAACTCTACAATATACCATGGTGGCCATATATAACCCTTGTAATCAAGGTAACTAAACAGGGATTTGCTCACTAACACTGTAACCTGCTTAATGTATAGAAGCACTTTGTATTTAAAAAAAAAAAAAAACAAACCACAAAAACCCCACAAACCATAAAACTTTATAAGTATGTTTTTTAAACTTAGAAATTATATTCCCTTTATGGTTTGTTTCCACACTGCTAACATTGTCTTTTCTAATATTAAAAAAAAAAAAAAAGCTTGCCTGTTTACATGAGTGTAGAGGAAAGAGTTCTTGCACTCAGTGGCCCTATTTTTCCATTCTCAAGGCCTTACTACATACAGGGTGTCATTTCTGCAAGTACCATCATCACATTTGAGGGAAGGTATTCTCATACTCATTTCAAGAATGATCTTGTATATTACATTAGTTCTCAACCCCTTTCAAATTGTGACTTTAGTGTTGCATAAAAAGGTTAAGGGTGCCTCTTCCTATTTAACCATTAAAAAGGCTGGTCAGAAACACTAGGCTGAAAACCATCATCAAGCAAAAAAAAATTTCTGTTAAACCCAGATCATCCTACAGAGCTGCCAGCAAAACTGTTTCTTTTACCAGCTTGGAATAACTTTTATATGGGACATTTCAAAGTTAAACATTGCTCCTATTTGCAGTTAGATTACTTTGAAATAAAGCTTTAAAATAAAATGTACTGCGAGAGACACTTTAAAGGTTTTATAACAGGTCCAGTAGATCATATTATAGAACCATGTCCTTTTTTTAATGACTTAGCATGAATAGTAACTTTTTAATATTTGCCTATTACTGTCTTATCCCATATTACAACATTGTCTTGAAAGTCCAACAAGTGTTGCTCCACTGATTTTGTAGCACTTGGCTTTCTGATGTTCATTTGCAGGAAACCAATTGATTGCAGGAAAATACTGATAGGATTGTTGTGAGGTCTAGTTGAGAGGATTGATGATTTAAGGGAAGCTTGAGATACATGTCTAAAATCCTTACTTTTGCTTATCACGGACAAAATAGTTGACTTGTGGTGTTTTTCCTGAATTTAATTTATTGACCTTTGACAAAGTTCTAATCACTGATTCAGGTATTGAGGGGAAAAAATAACAAAAAATTACTGAAACACTTAAGGAAACATCTTTCCTCCCCCTTCCTCAGGCTCAACTTAAGTCTAACACCTCTCTTCCCTGTCTTTGTAGTCTCAGTTTCCCTTGTTTTCACTCAGAGTTGCAGCTGGCCTGTGCCAATTCTTTTAGTGAGATGATAGATCACACAGGAGGCTGGGCTCATATGCATACTGGCTTGTCTGACACTCTTCATTTCTTAGTGGGTGTGCTCTGCTGCTCTGAGCTGGTGAGTGTCACTCTTCATGATAACATGGGGCCATAGTCCCTTTAGGGATGTGCCTGTTCCAGCTTGGGTCTCCTATGGGCTTCAGTTACTTCAGAGATGTACCTGCTGTGGCATGGCTTAGCTATAGGCCAAAATGCCCTCAGAAGTGAATCTCCTCAGGCATGGAGTGTGTCCTTCTGTGAGTGTGTCTCTATACATGCCCTCAGCGTCTTCATGTGTTTTCCCAAGAGCAGCTCTTCAGTTTCTCTGCATATGTTTCCCCAGCAGTATCTTCTCCTTATGTCTCTCCCTGCACTTCTTGCTAGCAGCTGCCGCTCGCTCTTAAATACGTTTCAGTGTGTGCAGCTCTGGTTGAAATTTTGACATGCAGTGGATTGTTTCCATCTATTTCAGTGCAGACTAGAACCTGTTGTGACTAGCACAGAGCAGCCTGCAACCTCTTGCCACATGTCAGCCTTGCAGCCCCTTGCTGCTGAAAGCCTGCAGTTCATGGCCAATACAGTTGTACATAGTAAACCAAGGTAGGCAGATGCAGCTTCTATTAAGCGCTTAATCTTTGCTAATGGAGTGGTCTTGTTCACAATACAAGAAATTATTTCTTGTTTGTGGGGAGGAGGGAAGTGATCCATATATATATATAAATATGAATGCATATGTATATGATGAAATTCATTAATCTTCCCTTAAGCTTGATCACCTTTAATGATATGGCTTAGAAACATCTGTGCATTTTTATATTGCTTGCTGTTGGCTGTAGTAAAGTGAATGTCTTCTGAAAACCACAGTCATTGTACACAGAGGAGGCTTTCAGAATTTCTTCCTACTGTGCAGCCATTCATTGTCCTATCAGTGGCAAGAACATTTCATGATACTACAGCCAAGTTCCTTTTCATTCCATTTTTTAACTAAGATGTTAATTATCATAGAATCTGTCTAACTGCCATTCTGAAAAATTGAACTATTAGCAGGGTTAAGATCTCTGCTTAGGTGTATATCTGACCCTTTTGAGGGAGGAGGTTCCTATTTCATACACCACTCTTAGGGGTTTTTTTGTTGTTTTGTTTTTTAAACATTACCTTGTTTGTTTTATGGGTGAGCAGGTAGACTCTAGAAGGTATTGTCAGTACAATTTCTGGTCTTAGCTTTTTTTCATCTGAGGTGTATCTGAGGTGTTTCTGAGGTTGAGAAACTTTGTCCTGTATCAAAAGCAAGGCAGATGATCGAACGCTGATGTGTTGGGTTTCTCATTATAAAAAGAATACTTGATGTCTCTGTGTTACTGAGCCTGAAAGAATGGAGGCATGTCAGGTCTTGTAATCCCAACGCTTTTGCATTAGTGCCAGAAAGGTGCCCTGTCTCTGAATTATGAGAACCTGCAGCAGTATATTGAGTTTTTTGCTTTAACAGAATTAGAACCTTTCTCAAGACAACAAAGGAAAGGGGTTTTTTTTTTGTCATTTAAATGCTTCATTGGATAGCTAGGCTTCTTTAGCTATAAGCTGTAAACTGTCAGTGCCCTACGGGAAGATGCTGGAAAACAAAATGGTATATTTTTAATGTGATTAAATTATAAGTTCCGACTTTTGCTTGAAGCCTGTGTCTGTCAATTGCTGCTCCTTTTTTTTATTATTCATGGGATTCCATATTTCTTCCAGAAATGTAACTGTTTATGCAAGTCAAGTGA